GGATTTCGGCAGCTGTTTCTAGCAGAGGAAATTGCAATTTTAACAACTCTTAACATGAACCCGAAGTAAGACCAATAAAATCTTTATCACTGCTGATAAGAGTTTGCAGCATGGAATTAGAGGCTGATGCAAAATGTTTTTGGGGAACTGAGGGGATTCTAACATACACACTCAATTGCTGCTAACAGGAAAAGAAATGTAACAGGCATAATAGGGGGGGGGGGGTATTACTTTGGAGTATTACAGAACAGTTTGCTTATTCCAGGCGAATTTACAGACTGGACATGTGGTTGTGGTTGATTTGTGAAAGATTCCTTGATGTTCCTTGAGAATTCCAAAAGTGCTTTTTCAAAAGGCAATGACTTTGTTTTCCCTTAAAAGGAGAAGGAAAAGCAAAGTCCAAGTGCCTTTTGTCCCACCAAGAGTGTCTTTTGGTGGGACAACCATGAGCTGGATGACTGAGAATGTCTATAAACTTCTTTACGTGGAATCTTTCTATCCCAGCTCTTTTCCCAGCAACCTTTGCTAATGATACAAGAAGTCGATTGAGCCCCACACTGAGATTACTTCCCACTGAGAAATTCCACTTCAGTCCAGTCTAAAACTGAAACAGGGGAATGGATCTGGGTCCAAACTCCAACTGGTTCTCACAGGGTTAGAGGTCAGCCCTAGAAGCTGGGTGCGGATGGGATAGCACAGAACTGCTGCCACTCACTGCCCCACTCACCTGAAGTGCAGCCAAGAACAGCCAAAGTCCAGAGCCATTGTGCTGGTGGGCTCTTAACTGGGCTGCAGGATCCCCTCATCTTCCTCAGTTTGTGCAACACAAAATTGAGAGGAGCTCTGAGTCTTGAGGGCACAGCCTGGCACTCTCATGGGGCACCTTTCCTAGCTGGGGCCTGTCTGCAACCCCCATTGTTCCCACAAGATGGCAATGCTGGGGAAGGATGGCATTCCCATTTGTGAGGAAATGTCCTGTCCCGTCCACCCCCACCCAAATGACTGGTCTATCAGGGCAGCCTGGTCCACACAGGTATACAAGCAGTCATTTTTGCAAAATAATACAGTTTGTGTTGAATTTATATTTACCTTTATTTCTTTGCTGGTAAATATAAATTCAACATTTGTGAGGAAGGTTCCCAGATGGGTGGGGTGGTAGCTAGGACTGGGCATACCTTGGGCTAATTGTTTTTCTCAGCCCAGCTGACCTCCCAGGGTGCCGCTGAAGAAGGACCATTGGGGGAGGCTTTGGTGGGGGAAGAAGACAACCACAGGCCTCCAGCCTCAAACTACGCACTTCTATTTGGTAGAAACCACTCCCTCCCTCCCATATCTGCTCTCAGTGGGGTTACATACCCCAAGGGTGGCCATCAGTTGGCAGTGATTATGGTCACCTAATTTCTGTAGTGGGTCAGAGGGCATCTAATTTCTGCAGTGACTCCTTCCGGTGTGCCTCCTGGGTCAACATGCTTTGATGGGCCTGCTCTTGGGCCTGGGCTGCAGTGTTCTTCAGTGTCCATACATACCTAACAAAGTTCAGAGCCCACCCCACCTCCCAATTTTTGCTGGCAGCTGTGCACTCTCCACCTTGAAAAGCCCTCCATTCCACTTGGCAAAACTGCAGTCGCATGGAACAACATACCTTCTGCCTGGCATGAGCTGCTCAGAGGGATGTTATGTACCAAATGCTACAAGACCTACTGTACATATTCGGAGTCCTCTCTGATCATGGGCTACTGAGTCGAAATTGGCTCTGCAGCTAGTCCCCATTTTAAAGGAGTGGACGTGGCACCCTTCATCTCCCCCATTCTGCCTTTGCATGCACAACAATAGAAGGATTGTTGCATCTCCAGTCAGAACCTCTCCCCAACCATCAGGCTGCTCTCAAAAGCCAGGAGAGGGCTGGGGGATGTGCTGAAAGAGGGTCACCCTCCCCCTACTCGGATGCATCTTCGTTTAGCCACACTTCTATAGGCGGACGTTCAATTAATATTGAGTGGAAGCAACAGCTCCAGAAATGGCTTTTGGAGCTACTGCAGAGCAGCTACTGGATTAGGTTCCCCAAAGATCCCAAGACATTATTGTTAACACAAGGTGCTGTTTATTTTCTGGCAGGACGTCTGCCACAAATTGAACCATGGAAGCACGCTGCCCTTCGGATTTTCACTGTGGCCCACCGGTTCTGAAGACAAAGAGGGAAACCGGGGCTTGCAAAGCAGATTTAACACCGGCTTCCCCGCAACCAGGCCCGGGGTTCAGACAGTCGCCTCCCAGGAAGGAGCTTTTGCAGCAAGGGATTGCAAGCCAAGAGAATTACTTCGGGGAGGCGGTGGGAAGGTCGGTAGGGCTAGGCGAGAGCCGCTCTCGACTGCAATCTCTTTCACCCACCGGAGTTACCTTCCTTCGGAATCGGAGGTCCAACTTCTAAAATCCCCGCTAGTTGGAAGGCGCGTCTTCCTTTGAATCGCTCCCTGCGGCGCTTCTGGATCTGGGTCCTTCTAAGCGGTCCCAGGCGTCCTCCCCCGCAGCTCGGCCGTTTCCTGGGCAAGCGCGGGTCTGTGCAGCCGGGACTGCCCTACGCTGGGCGGCCGCCGATCGCCGCTAGCTAAGCAGAAGCAGCGCAAGGATTGGCGTACCACTCGGGTACGCTGGCCGCGGGGGAGCCACCCTTTCCCAGTCCCGCCCTCTGGCCTGAGCCCCGCCCCGCTGCTCCCGGAGTCTCCACGCGGAGAGCCACGCTCCCTCCTTCGTGGACCCGTTCTCGGCACCCCCGGCCGGTTGCGGTTCCCGAAGGCTTAAACTCTGCAGAGATTCTCGGTCCCCCTGGTCCTGGTTCTCCCAAAGGTGGTTTTTCAGGAGACAACTGGGCTTACTGGGTTTTTTCTTTGAAGAGGATTCGCTTCTCATCCTGACAGGATAGTGGGGAATAGAAGGATTTATATCATATATTCATATATATTTATATTATATTCAGTGCTTCAAGGACCCTCTCAAAGGATGCCAATGACCAGCTGTCTGCAAGGAATATAAATCCTTCCATTCCCCACCATCCAATCAGAGCTGAAGAAGCTTCTGGGATGAGAAGTGAAACGTCTTCAAAGAAAAACCAGAAAGTCTGATTGCCTTGGGAAAAAAGCACCTTTGTGATAATGGCAACAATAGAGGCAATTCAGGAGCAGATATAATTGTTCCAGATTTCATATCTAACATTTCCCGTGTGGCCAGAAGCAAATATTATTAGTGTCAGTAATTACTGCATTTGTGAATAAAATCTTGTATGTGTCTGAGATACCATACAATAAGAGCATTGTTATAAATTCAGATCCTACGACTACACAAAAGAAAACTACTGAAATAGGACACCCATTGCCCCTGGAGCCTGAGTGAAGTAGCAGAAGGCAGCAATCTCAATTCTGGTGCAGAAATTTCCCACATGGAAGTGGTCTGCTCAATGGCCAGGCTCACCCAGCCTGGTTGGGCTTCAGACTTCTTGGCTTCAAAAAGAGGAAAACTTAAGGGATGTAAGAAGCAGACTGAGCACCTTACCGAACAGAGCAGATAGCAGTGGCCAGGTGTGATATGATCACCAGTAGACACGGTAAACATTGATTCTCTGTCATCTAGGTCATGGTTGTCCCAAACAAAGCTGCTTTATCAGGAGGCAACTGGACTTCCTTGTTTTTTCCTTGAAGACGTTTAGCTTCTCATCCAAGAAGCTTCTTCAGTTCTGACTGGTTGGAGGGGAATGGAAGGATTTATATTCCTTGCAGGCAGCTGGTCATTTGCATCTTTTTGATTGAAGCACTTGGAAGTTTATCTGTGTCCACAGGGTCACCTGAGTAGTTCTCCTGGTACCTGTAGTCTGCAATTCCCCCCCCCTCCAAATCCATTCCTACTCCCACACCATTCCAAGGGTGTTCATCCCAAATTGCTATAGCTATACAATTTGGGATGAAAACCTTTGGAATGGAGTGGGAGTAGGAATGGATTTCCAGAGGAAAAATTGCAGATGACAGGAACCAGGAGCACCATTCAGGTGATTCTGAGGACACAGACAAACCTCCAAGTGGCCTCAAGGACCTTTTAAAAGGATGCAAATGACCAGCTGTCCGCAAGGAATATAAATTCTTCCATTCCCCATGATCCTGTCAGTGCTGAAGAAGCTTCTTGGATGAGAAGCAAAATGTCTTCAAAAGAAAAACTCAGAAAGCCCATGGCTTTTAGCTGCATCTGCAGGCCTGGAAAAAGTCCTTTGATCCTTCACGCCAGGGGCCGAGTCCTCATACATAGCAGCAGAGAGTGGAGCAGTCCAGTTTCGCAGGGGCTCCCCCGTTGCCTGCTTTCTTGTTCACTTTGGGCAGGAGGAGGACAAAAGACATGGCCAGAGCACAGTGGTAGAAGCTATGCACGTAGGTGTAATCCCAGTCCTAGGAAAAGGCAGGATTGGTCGCATCAGCATCAACAAAGCTGCATCCAGCTGCCAAAAATCCAGATGCAGAAAACATTTAACCAGTGGTGGGATTCAAATAATTTAACGGGTTCCCTACACAGGTAGGTAGGCGTGGCTGGATGGTCATGTGACTGGGCTTGGCCAATTCAACCACTCACCTCAAGTGGCACCTCATCTCGTCCGGCCCTGCCTTGCCCAGCCTCACCCCTCCTCCCCCTGCCACTCCTTGTCATGCCCGGTCACTCACCTTGCCCGGGCGAGTAGTTTTCAAATAAAAGGAATGCTCGCCTTGTGCAAATAAATAACAAACATCTTGACGTCAGGTTTGATGCATCTTGCAAAGATGTTCATCCCAGTCTCCCTTCCTACTAACATCCCAGATTGTAATTTGCTACAGTCTCTCTTGTCTTTTGCATCATTGTATGGAGATAATTCTGGAATGTTATCTGTGATGTTTGCAGCTTCACAAGTTTCATCCAAGCCTGTTTTCGCATGCAATCCTTACAAGTACAAGTACACAAAACATCTTGCCTGTCAACGACTTCTTCAGCTTCAACCACAATAACACACTGGCAAACAATCGATACAAACTCAAGGTAAAAAGTTTCATACTCAATTGCAGGAAATACGACTTCAGCAACAGAGTGGTTACGCCTGGAATGCACTACCTGACTCCGTTGTAACATCTTCAAACCCTCCAGCTTCAACCTCCAGCTTCAACTGTTTGCCATGGACCTCACCCCATTCCTAAACATGTTTATGTTCTTACCTCTACTTATCATCTTGTACATGTTTGACAAGCAAACAAATAAAATAAATAAATAAAATAAGTAATTTTGATATCCCTTCCTCCTCCACTACTAAACAAAGTAGTGGTTAAGGTGCTGGCCTAGAAGCCCAGAGACTCTTTGCTTCACCTGGCAGCCTGTCTGTTGGTTGTGCTTGCTCTGATTTGTTTTTCCCTTTTGCATTTTGACCGGACAACTTTACCTACCTCAAAGAAAAATCTCAGCATCAAAGCCAGGGCCCCAAAGCAGAAGCCAGGCCCCACCTGCTGAGTGTAGACACTCTTATCTGGATACAGCCCTTTCTTCTCCTTCATCTTTTGCAGCTGGAGAGAGAAGAGAGATTACAGCAATTGGCCTTTCTCCAGTTACCACAGTTTAATTTTAAACCCTAGTGATGGAGGTAGAATTCCATCACACAGCTTGGCTTCTAGTGACATATTTTGTTGCCTTCCAAATCCTATCACAATATAGCGTTAAGCTTGTCAAATGATTTCAGTGGGGTTGTCAAGTTAGGACCTTTTCTTACCTGCTAAGAAAGTTCAGTTTCCTTTCAATTTTGCTAGGGATGAGGGAAAGGGTGGGGGTGAGGGCTAATTTATCTCTTAATTTATGAAGCCCTCAAATTGGAGGAGGGCAAGGCCACAATCATCTTTGCAGGCCTCCCACTGAAACATCCTGGACATCCCAGGTTCCCACTTGAAGACAGTCGAAGAAGGAATTATAGTTCCACCCTCAAATTGCCCTTTTTGTTAGAAATTCCTTCTACCTCTCCCAACAGAATCTGCTTCCTATCACCTAAATCCATTATTCTGGAGAATACATTGATTGTGACCTTCCTCACTGCAGCATTTTTTCAGATAATTGTAGAGTACCGTCATTTCCCACCATCTGAGTCTCTTTTCTAAAGGTGAAATATCTCCAGGACTTCATTTTCTCTTGACCATTCCTCTAATTATCATCCTTTTCTTGGTCCCATGAAGATCATTTTGAAATTTATTCCAGTTCTCCTGGGCCTTCCCCCACCCCCCACCCCACCCCCTAACAATGGGATGTACTCATATTTGGCTGAAAAGCCTTTTCCTTCTATTGTTGAAGTGATCGTTTTGCTTCTAGTTTGACCATGATGGAAATCCTCGGAGGACCCCTCTGGGGCCTGCAAAAGCTGCCAATGGTGTCCATTCACGGCATGAAGCCACAGTAGGACACCACTGTAAGAGAAGGGCAGTTGATAGTGGGAGCATCCTGTCCACTGTCATCAGGAAACTAATCCCTCCCTGAAATTGGGATACTTTTATTCTTAAATTTTATTCTTAACTTCTTCTCAGATTTCAGTTGAAGTGACTCTTATGTGCCAGCCCTTTTGTACTGTGACAAAGATGTGGCCTTACCCATTTGACAGTTATGGCGAGAACTGCTGTGCCGATTGGTCCAGAGTAGACACCGTATCCCCATCGGTCATGGTAGATCCTGACAGCTATGGTAAGCACTCCAAACATCACCAAGGTTGATCGTTTGGGCTCATCAAACTCTGCCAGAGCTAATAAAATGACAAGAATTGAAGTACAACCTCATTTAAAATTCCAACTCTTACCACTACACTTTTAAAGGTTCCCTGGAATAGCACCTTGTTGACCTGATCGTTACAAAAAGCAGGGTTAGATCTTGGTTGCTGCTTCAGTGGAGCCAGTCGGAAAAAGGGAGGCCAGAGGGAAAAGCCAAAATGTGCTCTATGGTTTTAATATTTAAGGGGCTACCCCAGAGTGGAAGGGAGGGGGTTGAGCTATTTTCCAAAGCACCCGAAGGCCAGACAAGGAACAATGGGTGGAAACTGAACAAGGAGAGATTCAACCTGGAAATAAAGAAGAATTTCCTGACAGTGAGAACAATCAACCCATGGAACATAATTTGTGGTAGCTTCATCACTGGAGGCTTTCAAGAAGAGACTGGACTGGCACCTGTCAGAAATGGTGTAGGGTCCCCTGCTTGGGGTATGTGGACTAGGTGACCTATGAAGTCCCTTCCAAGTCTGTTAATCTGCTAACTCTCTTTGGATAGACATATTATCACTCCAAAAGCCCTACATGACACACAGCTGGGACATTATGGCCCATGGGCTGCATCTGACAAACCACCAAAATTACCCAATCTGTAGTCCCAAAAAGGAAGAGTCACCTGGCCCACAGGTCCACCTCCTGAGACCTCAGAGCTCAATTTCCAAATGAAAAGGACGTTGGTCTTACCTGAACGTCTATTTTCTGATGGGAGGAGGGAATGGTCAC